CTCAACCAGTGAGTGTCCATCCGTCCTCGCGCCATGTGTTAGATGTACTAGTGTGTGTGCGTGTGTGTGTGTGTGTGTGTGTGTGTGTGTGTGTGCGTGCGTGCGTCCGTGCGTGCGTGCGTGTCTACGTGCGTGCGTGTTTGCGTGAGCGCCTTCATGCGTGCGTATGCGTGCGTGCGTATGTGTGCGTGCTTGCGTGTGTGGGTGCGTGCGTGCGTATGCGTGCGTGCATATGCGTGCTTAGTTACTGTTATTCCTCCATCTTCCACAGCTTGTCTGAGTTCAGTGATGAGAATATGATGGATCCATACAACCTGGCAATCTGCTTCGGACCAACTCTACTACCGATACCGGAAGACAAAGACCAGGTTAGCCCATTACAGACCTACAATATTAAGACATTAATAACAATATTAATTAAGACAGTATTAAGACCTTCAATATTAAGACATTAATAACAATATTAATTAAGACAGTATTAAGACCTTCAATATTAAGACATTAATAACAATATTAATTAAGACAGTATTAAGACCTTCAATATTAAGACATTAATAACAATATTAATTAAGACAGTATTAAGACAGTAATAACAATATTAATTAAGACAGTATTAAGACATTAATAACAATATTAATTAAGACAGTATTAAGACCTTCAATATTAAGACATTAATGATCAATGATCAAACGCAAACTGTTAATGAATCCTGAATCTGTCTTCGACGACGTCACGGGTTGCCGTTAGCGATGGCGAGATTGACTGCCTCTTCTTCTGCCACAGGTTCAGTACCAGAACGCCGTTAACGAGCTCATTAAAAACATCATCATGTACCAGGAGGACGTGTTCCCGGCCGACGGAGGTCCCGTGTACGAGAAGTACATCCTCTCTCCCGAGGAGGACATGTGAGCACGGTCGGGCACCTCCGTAGAAGGGACACCTCCGTATAAGGGACACCTCTGTAGAAGGGGCAGCTACGTAGAAGGGACACCTCCTTAGAAGGAACGGCTCCGTAGAAGGGGCACCTCTGTAGAAGGGACACCTCTGTAGAAGGGACACCTCTGTAGAAGGGTCACATTTGTAGAAGGGTCACCTCTGTAGAAGCGACACCTCTGTAGAAGGGACACCTCTGTAGAAGGGATGCCTCCGTAGAAGGGACACCTCTGTAGAAGGGATGCCTCCGTAGAAGGGACACCTCTGTAGAAGGGATGCCTCCATACGAAGGAACGTCTCGTAGATGGGAACACCTCTGTAGAAGGAACACTCCGGTTAGATGGGGAGCCTCTTTTAGAAGGACCCTCTGGTAGAAGGGGGACACCTCCGTAGATGGCGACACCTCTGTAGAAGTGGCACCTCTTGTAGAAGGGACCACCTCGTAGAAGGAACACCTCTGCTAGAAGGGGCCACCTCTGTAGAAGCGGACACCTTGTAGAAGGGGACACCTTTGTTAGCTGGGACACCTTTGTAGATGCGGACACTCTGCTAGAAGGAACACCTCTGCTAGAAGGAACACCTCCGTAGATGGGACACGCCTCTGTAGAAGGGGCACCTCCGCTTAGAAGGGACACCTCTGTTAGAAGGGAGACACCATCTGTAGGAAGGAGACACCTCTGTAGAAGGGATGCCCTCTGTCAGAAGGACACCTCTGTAGTAGGGACACCTCCGTATAAGGGACACATCTGTAGACGGGACACCTCTGTAGAAGGGACACCTCTCTAGACGATGTAGTGCTCGCTCGTCGACGATCCCGACCTTTGCTTGACCTTTCACCTTTATTTGACCTTGCAGTCAGCCGGACATGCCGGACGCCGGACAGGACGATTTCTCTGAGGACGGCTCGGAGTACGGCTACAAGGACAGCGACGACCAGGTACGAGTGGCTCCCTCTATACACATACAACGACGCTCGCTTGCCTCACTCTCCTCGCGGCGGGGAGAGGGGGGCGGCAGAGCGGCGGGGAGGCGGGAGGGGGGGACACCGTGACAGAAACAAAATTAGTCTCTGAAACATTAGTCTTGACTTTTTCTTGTAGACCGTTGACAGAAACAAAATTAGTCTTAACATTAGTCTTGACTTTTTCTTGTAGACCGTTGACAGAAACAAAATTAGTCTTAACATTAGTCTTGACTTTTTCTCGTAGACCATTGACAGATCCATGGTAGAGTTATGAGTTTCTCATACGCAGTGTATAGAGGTGCGGGTATACGAGAAAAAGTTCATGTTGTGTGACTAATGTTATAGTAGGTCTCAGGGGAGAGATAGTGATCAGAAGTTGTGGATATAAAAATCAGTTAACCCTAACCCTAGCCCTAACCCTAACCCTAACCCTAATCCTAACCCTATCCCTAATTCTAAAATAAAACAAAATTAGCCAAAAATAATAAACAATAAAATAAACAAGAGACAAAATTAGCCAATCAGAGCCGTTGTTGTTAGCGCATAATGCGCCCTCTAGCGGATCACTATCTCTCCCCTGTGCAAAATTCCTAATGTTAAAACTAATAACAGGCGACTAGAGCAGTAGCTTCCGCATTGCCATTCTGCAATCTGAAACTTTCATCTGATACATCTTATGAGTATTTTTTGTTGTTCTGATGGTGACTTTGAACTTGTCGTCTTCTCTCTGGGCAGTGTGCAGGTATCTTTACTGCATGTGTTCACTAGCTGTAGATTGAGTGACGTAGAGCGAGTGACGCTGAAGGGGTCGTTGTCGTATCAGGTACTACATATATGTACCCGAGGTACATATATGTATACACAAAGTGTACCAGACTACCCTACCCTAATCCTAACCCTAACTCTAATCCTAAACATACCTCATATAAAAATATAAACATAATACTAAACAACCTAAGACTACCTCGGGTACATATATGTAGTACCTGATACGACAACGACCCTTCGTGCGTGAGTGACGGTTGTAGTCGGACGATATAGTTCCCGTGTATATATTCCCTATATCGGCTGTATTCTGAACTTTCTGCTGTTTCATGCATGCAGCGTGGCTGGCCTATCTGTTAGGATGTATGAGAAGTAAGTCATCCGTTTCCGTTTCCGTTTGGCATGCATGCTGCTAGCGCCATCTGCGGGCCGCGATTAGAAGCAGACGTCATTACCGGTCACGCGTGTGGTTTGCTACAGTCCCCCGTTTACAGGAAAGTGCATGAGTATATGTTTACCACGGGTGTATGCATTGAAATTCGCGCTTCATCACTCCGCGTAAAACTTTCCCATCGACGCTGATAATCGATTCGAGTAAGACTGTGAAGATTGCGCGCCGCCCGCTGCTGCTACCTGCGTCGCAAACAATAGAACGTCTTTGTGTGCGCGTCATCGTTTTTCCGTGCGGAGATGTCAATTGTGTCGTCGATCTTGTTCCCTCAGAGTCTGAAGTATTTGACGCTGTCGCTCAGTACGACTTTGAAGGTCGTTCGAGTCACGAGCTAACCTTCCGCAAAGGTGCCAACATCACTCTTCACTCACAGGTATGTTCACTCACAGGTACGTTCACTCGCAGGTGTGTTCACTTACAGGTATGTTCACTCACAGGTACGTTCACTCGCAGGTGTGTTCACTTACAGGTGTGTTCACTCGCAGGTACGTTCACTTGCAGGTGTGTTCACTTGTGGGTGTTCTCTCACAGGTGTTCACTTATGGGTGTGTTCACTCGCAGGTACGTTCACTTGTGGGTGTTCTCTCACAGGTGTTCACTCGCAGGTACGTTCACTTGTGGGTGTTCTCTCGCAGGTGCGTTCACTCGCAGGTGTGTTCACTCGCAGGTACGTTCACTTGTGGGTGTTCTCTCACAGGTGTTCACTTGCAGGTACGTTCACTTGTGGGTGTTCTCGGTCTCAGTTGCTCGGTCTCTATCGTGATGGACAGATGTGCTCACGTAGTAAGGAAGGAGTAAGGACCCTTTCCGTCGCTAGAAATCCTAATAATTGAGACCCTTTCGTTAAATTGACTACGTCACGAATTTTCTATGGTGTATATTTATAAAAAATTTGTTGCCATTTTTTACATTAAAAGTATGTACTAACGGGACTAAATGTAGTCCGTTGCCATTCTCAACTAGTTAAAAAACTAAAAAACCTGGACGATTTGATATTATGAACCTGACATTAATTGCTTGCTATGGGCTATGTATGAGTCACGAGCGTATGTTTACATCGAACAATATAGTAAAATAGGAAGTATAATGCAGCAATTTAACCATAAAAAGTGAACAGAATTACTTACATTTTGTAAAACATTGGAAATGTTTTTTTTACTTTACTATTTACGCTGACGTAATCACTTTAATGCACGTTCACTGCCTGCGAAAGTTGGCTGGACGGTTAGTCTGTTACGACGTGAGAAATCTATCGTAGATTCGTGTGTTTCGCAACAAAACTGAGGTTGTGTGTTTGTCGAAGGAAGTCTGCGATCGAAATAAGCGCGAAATGGGTGGTTTTTTGAATAGCTGGAGCCTTTTGAAATCAGAAAATTTTCGGTATTTGGAATTTATACGGTATAAATAATATAAATATTATATAATAAGTATTAATATTTGTATAAATAAAATATTGGTTTAATTTGTCGTCAACTGATGTATCGGCGTGGTCTGTGCAGGTGTCACCCGATTGGTGGAAAGGCAGTTTGGAGGGTAAAGCTGGGCTAGTGCCGGACAAGTACATAGCTGTCATGAAGACCAGGTGAGTGATGGGTGCAGGGTTAATTAACAAGGTGTGGTGTACATCGTTACAGGTGAGTGATGGGTGCAGGGTTAATTAGCAAGGTGTGGTGTACATCGTTACAGGTGAGTGATGGGTGCAGGGTTAATTAGCAAGGTGTGGTGTACATTGTTACAGGTGAGTGATGGGTTCAGGATTAATTAACAAGGTGTGGTGTACATCGTTACAGGTGAGTGATGGGTGCAGGGTTAATTAGCAAGGTGGGATGTACTTCGTTACAGGTGAGTGATGGGTGCAGGATTAATTAACAAGGTGTGGTGTACATCGTTACAGGTGAGTGACGGGTGCAGGGTTAATTAGCAAGGTGGGATGTACATCGTTATAGATGTGTGTGTGATTGATAGTGTCAATTGTAGATAGCTGTCGATTTGTAAGGAGGAGTTATATATCTTGTTGCATTTTTCCCTCATTTTCTTTTTCGTTTACACGATTATTTAATGTGCTCATGCAATTCAGTGTGGTGCTATTATTATAACACATTGGTTGATAGGTGTTAGATTGATAGATAATGGATTTGTATTGAAGGGCAGTTATAGATTAAAAAGACCACTCAGAGTGGAATTTAAAGGGAAAGACTTTACCCATTACGTTTAAAATCGGATTTAAGGGCAGCGGGGACCTTCAATGAGATGGGAAACTTTCGCCACCACGTCACATGAGGTTTTCCCCGGGGGAGAACCCCGTCCTCTTCTCACAGCACTCTCCTCTCTCTCTCNATCGTTACAGGTGAGTGATGGGTGCAGGGTTAATTAACAAGGTGTGATGTACATCGTTACAGGTGAGTGATGGGTTCAGGATTAATTAGCAAGGTGGGATGTACATCATTACAGGTGAGTGATGGGTGCAGGGTTAATTAACAAGGTGTGATGTACATCGTTACAGGTGAGTGATGGGTTCAGGGTTAATTAACAAGGTGTGATGTACATCGTTACAGGTGAGTGATGGGTGCAGGGTTAATTAACAAGGTGTGGTGTAAATCGTTATAGATGTGAGCATGATTGATAGTGTCAATTGTAGATAGCTGTCGATTTGTGAGGAGGAGTTATATATCTTGTTGCATTTTTCCCTCATTTTCTTTTTCGTTTACACGATTATTTAATGTGCTCATGCAATTCAGTGTGGTGCTATTATTATAACACATTGGTCGATAGGTGTTAGATTGATAGATAATGGATTTGTATTGAAGGGCAGTTATAGATTAAAAATACCACTCAGAGTGGAATTTATAGGGAAAGACTTTACCCATTACGTTTAAAATCGGATTTAAGAGCAGCAGGGAACTTCAATGAGATGGGAAACTTTCGCCACCACGTCACACGAGGTTTTCCCCTCCTCTTCTCACAGCACTCTTCTCCTCTCTCGCAGGGAGAACCCCCTTCTCTCTTCTCACAGCACTCTTCTCCTCTCTCTCTAGCAGGGAGAACGCTAAACGTCGCTCGTCCTGATTGGCGGTTTCTCCGGCGGCGGCGGCGTCTGCTCGAACTGCGCGCGCCGCGCCGCGAAAGGCGACCGTCGGATCATCTCCGGCGAAAGCTGCGGCTTCCGCAGCACTGCCGGCTTAACCCGCACCGTCGGTCTCATTGCCGACCCATCCCCGTCGAACCCCTCGGGCGTTCGCTCGCGCGGCGACCCCGCCTGCCGCTCAAACTGACTCGCGAGGTCGCGCGTGCTCAGCCGCGTCGCCGTGACCCCCATCGCGACCCCGCCGCCGCCGCCGTCGCCGTCATCATCGTCGTCGGCGAACACGTCGGTGGGGGTCGGCGGGGCTGATCCGGAACCCGAACGCACGCTGAGCGCGGAGCCGGACGACGTTCCGCTGCCGCTCTTCTTCAGCGTCGATTGGTTCGAGCTCGCGAACGTGTCGGCCGAGGTCGTCGCCGGCGCGGGGGGGTCGGAGGTCGGGAGGTCGATGACGAGGTCGGGGCGACCGCGGGGGGGCACCGGCGTAGCAGCGAGCTCGGCCACCGATTGGACGACGGCGAGGACCTCGTCGAATTCGCGCGTCAGGTCCTCGCGGCTCATGCCGCGCCGCGCGCCTCCCCCTTCCCCCTCCCCGCCGCCGCCGCTGCTGTCGCGCTGGAGGGAGGGGCCTGCTGCTGCTGCTGCTGCTTTTGTTGATGCTGCTGCTTCTGGTGTTCTCCTGTGTTTAGCTTCTCCCCTCGCGAGCCACCGACGAGGTCCTCCTTGCTGGAAGCCTTGCGCGCGCGCATCGGCTTGTACCGGCTCACGACCTTCACGCGACCCTGCGTCGGTCGCTCCGCCTCCGCCGCCTCGTCGCCGCCAGGGGGCGCTCGCCGAGCGTCGCCGCCGCCAGGGGGCGCTCGCCGCGCGTCGCCGGACTCGCCGACGATCTGGACGATGGCGTAGGGTCGCGGGAGGTCAGATACGGACCCGGCGAGGCTTCCTCCTCCTCCTCCTCCGGCACCTCCTCCGTCGCTGGCTTCCTCTCCGCTGCCGCGGTTGCGACGCTTCTCCCCCGGCGCGGCGGCAGCGGCCTCGGCGGGCGCCTTCTCCCCGTCGGCCTTCTCCCTGCGAGAGAGAGAGAGGGTTGAGAAGAGTGCTGTGAGAAGAGAGGAGGGGGTTCTCCCTGCGAGAGAGAGAGAGAGAGGAGAAGAGTGCTGTGAGAAGAGAGGAGGGGTGCGAACTTTGTGCCGAGAGAAACCGCCAATCAGAAAAGCAGGGACGTCTAGCGTGTAGACTCCGCCCCAAGAGAAACCCCCAATCAGAAGCAGGGGTGTGTATCGAGTGAAATTTGTGCCGAGAGAAACTGCCAATCAGAAGCAGGGGTGTGTATCGTGTGAAATTTGTGCCGAGAGAAACCACCAATCAGAAGCAGGGACGTCCTGTGTGCAAACTGCGCCCCCAGAAAAACCACCAATCAGAGAACCAGGGACATAGTGTACTAGCTGCACATGTAGTGTACTGCATGGGGGGAAATATTTTTATCACATTGGGAATATCGTAGGCCCACCCCGATCAGTCCCTCCTCGGTCACCTATCCTGTCTTACTCATCCAGCTCCACCCCCAGTCACCCAGCCCAGCCCAAGCCAACTCGATAAACTTCCAACCACCTAGCCCTACCCTAGTCACCCAGCACAACACCCTAGCCAACTAGATAGACCTTCATCCATCTAGGCACACCCTTGTAGCATTGCCCCACCCCAGTCACGCAGCCCCGCCCAAGCCAACGTGTTAGACCTTCATCCATCTAGGCACATCTTAGTAGCATTGCCATCCCCACCCCAGTCACGCAGCCCCGCCCAAGCCAACGTGATAGACCTTTAACCACCTAGGTGTACAACTGTAGGGTTGCCACCCCACCCCAGTCACCCAACCCCGCGCAAGCCAACTATCTAGACCTTCATCCACCAAGGCACACNACACACTTACTATGCTCAGGCATGCTCTAAGCCTACATACTAGGCTAGTGGGTGTTCCCCTGAGCCCATACACACCTACTATGCTCAGGCATGCTCTAAGCCTACATACTAGGCTAGTGGGTGTGTTCCCCTGAGCCCACACAATCTTAATATGCTCGGGCATGCTCTAAGGCCACATACTAGGCTAGTGGGTGTGTTCCCCTGAGCCCACATACTCTTACTATGCTCAGGCATGCTCCAAGGCCACATACTAGGCTAGTGGGTGTGTTCCCCTGACCCTGCAAGCATCGTCTGTGCTTGACACAGGTGTGGTGTGTGGAGTGAGGGGGGGGGGGCAGTGCCGGAGAGATAACAAATTGCACAATCTTTATTTTTG